AGAGAGAGAGAGAGAGAGACGGAGCGAACACGTGCGAACGCACGCGACGGATACTACCGCGAGTAACGGCGACCGCCGGATCCGTCGCGCTCGACCTGTCATTCCCTTCGGCAAAGTGAAAACCCGTAGCCGGCGCGAATGCAGGACTAGAGAAGCGCGATCGGCGGTGGCGAAATTATTAACACGGAGATTCGAGACGAGCGCGAGGCGCGAGTTCGTATCGCGCGCAGAGGCGACGAGAGAGAGGAGCGTGGAGTAATTCCGGAGTACGCACGGAGCGAAGGTTAAGCGAGGAGAGGTTAGAATCGCCATCCGCGGCGATGGTGAATAGATTTGGGGGCCACTTACCTCGTGCGCCCGCGGATGCTGGTGATCGCAGTGCCGGTGCTCGAACATCCCAGTGGCAGGAGCCAACACAGCGCACACCGCGAGGAGAACGGCGAGCGGCGACACGCCGCAGGTGCCGCGGCGCATCTTCAACCGCACTCGGGCCGCCATCACGGACAACACGCGCGATCGCAAAGCATGACACATACTGAGCGCGCCCGCCGGCGCCGCGCATTTATATGGCCGGTGCCGGCGCGGCGGCGACGGCGGCAGGCAGCGCCGCGCGACTCACGTTCGATACCCGGAGCGCGAGCGCGGCGGCGGCGACGGCGGCGGCAGCGGCAGCGGTGGTGGTGGTGGTGGAGGCGGCACTCCGTCAACGACGACGGCGGCGGCGGCGGCGGCAACAGCGGCGACGACGACGCTGTCGCTGGGATAAACCCCTCGTCGTAAAGAACCTGCGAAGAAATCGAAGGGCTTGTTGTACGACGTTGAGGCAAGCTTAAATTTAATGCGACACAGACGCTGTTATTCGTTCTTTAATAATGAACGACTAAACTAATGGGAGCGACCGTCTTTGCTCGCTATACTCTCCCGTCGAAGCAAAAAGATATTGTTTTAATTTTTGATTAAGACTGGTTTAAATAATAAAAATAAATTGTAGAATCTGTATCTTGTAAAATATTAATGTGTATATCATATGTATATCATGACGTTAGATATTATAAAATATAGAGAAAAAATTATTAGCGTACGAAATGTACAATATACTTTCGTTGTGTATGCTTTTTATTTCGAAACGAAATGTTATTATTTGCATACAGTATTTGCTTCATATTTATTTATGCGATTTATTTAAAGAATATAAGGATATTTTGAGTTTTTCATTACGTTCATAAAGAAAGAGATGAATAAATGATATTATCAAATGTACCACATGTTTATTTCAATTTTATTAATGTACCAAAGAACGACTTTTTTTCATTTATATATTCATATAATGACTGAAAACATTTAAATTATAATTAGGTACTTATATGTTTATCTTCCAATGATAAAACGTGTGTATATCATATATGTACACATATACAGTACTTTTCATAAAATACTGAATGTTATACCTCGACGTATAATTGAAAAAAGTTAATTTTAGAATAGATATGTGTATATATTTTTTTTATTTAATTATTTATTTTATTTATTGAGACGCTATTATTGTTTGTTGATAAGAAATTCTTTTTCTTTTTATAAGTATTTTCTATACCTTCCGTATTATATTTCCTTTGCAAGCTATATTGAGAACTTTGAAAAATATTAATTCTCTTGTAACAAAAATATCGAATTACTTCACGACTACATAAAAATTTCAATTTCATTCAAAACAGAGCGTTATGAATAAATATTTTAGAAAAATAAAGAAAATTGTTTGTTTCAGAAAAAAAAAACTTGCATAGACATTAAATACTTCAAAGTAAAGAATATTTTGTACATCGATGTAAAATAATGTTACATGATATTAATTCGCTTTCTTTTCTACCTGTGATCGAGAGTTAAAATAAAATAGTGCTAATCAATAACCTTAGTTAATTTGACTCTTTGATGTAACTTGACTACCGTTCTTTGCGATAGAGAGCCGTAGTTAATGATACCTATATTGACGCAACAGAAATTTGATTCCCCATATCATGATCGGAAAGAGGTCGAGAATTTTTTTTGCGTTCATTACCAATCGTATTTGATATTTGCGTTTGGAAGTGCGCAAAAATGGGAATTTTTTCACAATCTGATATCTGGTATTTACGCGTCAGAAATCAGAATGATTTACTGAATATACATATATTGAGTAAATGCTACGATATGTTTCGAATGGTATACACAACAAAAACTAAAAAAAAAAAAAATTAAATAAATAGATCATACAAAAATTTACAGAAAATCTTGAAAATTTTATCGATTAATAAAAAATTCTAATTTAAATACGAGTATGTTGAAATCCATTGTAAATCTCTAGCCGCAATTTAATACAGTAAGTACTTCAAAAGGAATCTGAACGACTTCTTTTACACGTGACTAAAGGCTACGTCAAAGTCACATCAAAGAGGTCAAAATAATATTGTTAATAATAATATCCTTCGCTCTATACAGAATAATAAGGCTGATGAAGTCTCAAGTACAGAGTCGACCCTGAGAGTTAGCTATACATATACACAATAAAGTTTATCTTTTTAAGCCTAAATGTTTACGCACAAAAAGTTTCTACAAATGGTACAGATAATCGATCATAGCAATATTCTCTGTTGATAATTTTATTACGATTAACGAATCTAACAGTTATTAAAACAGATTTAAATAGAAAATGAAAAATTATTATTATTATTATTACTTATTCTCGCGTCTTCAAAGGATTTTTACAATATTTATTAAATATAATACAATTATTTCTTTTGAGTTAATCTGAAGTTTCAAATGTTAAAAATAAATTGGCAAAATTTCAGCAGAGTTTCAGCAATAAAATTTGTATCCAAATATAAGAAATATCTCTACCAGAGGACCAGACGTACAAAATATTCGCAAACACCTTGTAAGCAACTATGTGGCTAGAGAAAATTATTAAGCTTGATATGTAAAATACACAGTAATTTTCTCGTATAGCAATAATAGGATTATTACGGTCTAATCTACCCAGCTTGACATGCAGTAATTTTCTTGTATAGCAATAATAGAATTATTACGGTCTGATTGTCGCCATGTTTTTACAAGACAAAGGCAGTAAACGAGCAAAGGAGAAGCGTAACATCGGGACCGCTGATGCTACACCTAATTTACAATCGTGATTTTACCGTGAAAAAATAAAATGCACTGAATGCACAAATTAGAAAAGAATAGGTATATAAAACAACAAAGCTATCGATTATGATTAAAGTTATAGATATTGACAAGAACTGGATATTGTATTTACTCAAAAAATTAGCTATTCTGGATTATGTCGGAAGTAAAGATAAAAATGAGAATTATTCTAGCGATATGTCTATATAAAAAGAAATAATTTTGCGAAAGGGATTTACGAAATAAAACCAAGTATTATAATTTATTCGATATTATTGCACCGGTTTCCACAAATATAATACATATATATATATTTCATTAGAGGCATTAGAGCTGTTCATTTTCAAACTCAATTATTAACAAACTATTATATACAACATTATTGATATAGCTATATAATTGATATAACAAATTACACAAATAATCATTATTTATACTTAAAATATAACATTTATAATTATGATTTCGCGCGTGCGTTGTCGCAAATATTAATTTTTACAAATTGTAGCGTACCATTTTTTACTGGCATCGCAACTTAAATTTACGCAATGAGGACACCGCGTTAAAAATTTAGGATTTACAGATTGTTTTGATTTAAGGTGAGACACAACAATGTCCGTCAGAGCGTCGATGAAAATAGGATGATCATTAGGCGCGGCAGCCCTTCGTATCCTCTCGATACCAAGCTAGAAAGATTAAACATGAAATATTTTTTATTCATCGTATTAGACGATGTAAGATATGGCAGCGCTTCTTACTTCTTCGGCAAGATCTCGGCAGTATTCTATGTCCAATTCGTGAAGGGTTTCAATATGCTCATTTACAAACGCAATTGGTACCAGAATAAAATTTTTCTTGCCCTGCTTAACGTAACCCTTTAACGCTTCATCGGTAAAAGGTCCTAGCCAAGCTGTAGGTCCAACCTATGTATATATATTTCGTAATACAAAATACACACTAAACGCAAAACTTTATCTAAGCTCCGGCTAAATTTCGCTAGATTTTAAACAGCATATATATTTATATACCTTTGATTGCCACACCAAACTATATGGATTGCAGTAATTTAATTCCTGCATTACTAATGCGACTGTGGCTCCAACTTCCGCAGGATAAGAATCTCCTCTGTTTACAACCTAAAGTAATTACCGGGGAAAAGACAAATTAGACTAATTCCAAATGATTATAAAACTAAGTATACATTAATTCGAGATAATAACCTGCAAAGGCAAAGAGTGAGCTGAAAATAAAATTATCACGTCGTCTCTTTTTTCGCTAGAAAATTGCGCAAGTTCCTCTTTAATCCTTTCGACAAATGTTTTCACAAGAAGCGGGTGCGTGGCCCATCTATCGATTATACTCCATTTCATGTCACTTGGCGACTCTCTGCAAAACAATTTCGTGTCCCGTGTGTATAAATTAACATATTCCATTTTCCATTTGTTCTTATTTACAATATCCAATACATTTGATTAAAACAACAGACAATTTTAATTTATAACGTAAATATTTTCTATATAACAAACATATATGTATAAACATAATAACATATGGAACACGTGCCGCATCTCTAATTTAAAGTACAATATATAAAGTACAATAATCTGCCTATAATAAATATGTGGAAAATAGATAACAAAAGTCAATCCAGTCTTTTACACCGACAATTAGTCTTATCTATAACAAAAGTTGATGAAATATAATAATCACCTAGTCTTGTAATAATTGTATATAGCATTAAAACTGGAACCCGAAGTTGAACAACTATATTGAGGATACTGAGAAAAAAGTACAGTATGCTGTACTCCATCGCTGAAAAAGGAAAAAAAACACAACTCATTCAAATTATCTTCATCTTTCTACAATCACATGTTTACATGTGTTTAGATTATATTACACCTAAGAAAATATGATAACCGTACTTGCGTATCCTCTCAAGAGTATCTTCCGTGAGAGGATCTGCGTACCGAAAGGCAACATAATATTTATGAGGTGCGGTTTCAGGCGAAATTTTATCTAGTTTCTTGCATAAAAGTTCGCCCTGTTTATTCGTCCATTGTAGAATAGGCGATCCGCCACCAATCTCGGAATACTTTTTCTGTACTTCTGGCGTACGACGTTTGGCTATCCAAGGACCTAATTTACTGCAACACATTCCCATAAAAGATGTCTCTCCTACATAATACTCGCCACCATGCATATAAGATCTATAAAATTTAAATTAAAACCTTTGAACTGGCAGTTGAATCATATCACGATCGGTCATTATTCTTAATAAATATTCATGGACCAGACTGGTATTGGCAGGACCACCCATGTTTAACATTAATATGCCAGTCTTTGGTTTTACGCCACCTCTGTCTACTGGATCTGCAGCAACAGAAGCGTAGCATCGTGCTACAGCAGAAGGCTTCGTGCATTGTCGCCCTATACAACATTATATTGCAATTACCTGGTGTTTATTTAAGGTAATATCTTATTTAATGTAAGAAAATTTCAAAGACAAATGAAAATCACAAATATAAAGCGAAACGTAAAACTTCACTTGAAAAGTCGGAAAAACAACATGAATTGTAGCTTAAAGTAATATCGCCTTTCATAAAATATAACAAATTTCATAAATTAAAGTTTGTAACGTTAAAAAAATCATAAATATAAAAAGTAATTAATATTGTGTACCATTTTACAATGAGGTATATTTTGAACTCAGCGCTAACGTTATGGTTAATAAATTTTTAAATGCTGGGCGCGATAAAAAAAAGAATAATTTATCACTAACATTTCTTGTTGTCATTACTACCTACAAATGACAGTAGGATCACTTTATTGTCTCTGCGAAATGCATCTCTAAAAATGAAAAAGTCTTATTCACTTACCAAAACATAACAGACTCGTAAACAAACTGTTAACGCTCATGTCTAAATAGCACTTAATAACTCAATCTGAAAAATTAAAAAATTGCAACGTAGAGGTTATCATGAGCGTTGTGAGTTACGAGTTGCACTGTCACGATGACAGTAGAGTACACCATTAGATAAGAACAAATTTGATCCTCGCGACTAGGTTAGGTTCGATGCAGCATGCTGTATGCACGCAAGTTATAAATCACGTATAAATGAAGATTGTGTAAACAATTCCCCGCAGTATATCAATCAATTAAGATTTCTATTCTTACAAAATTTGCTCTAAGATAAATAATGACAGACGATAGAAATATTATTCGAACAACAAAAAATTAAACGTGTACATTCGAATTTTTTTTCAAACATCTGTTACACAATCATATTAATATTATATGTAATCTGATTCCTGATAAATGCATCTTTTGCCTGAAACAAATTCTTGAAGTAAATTTCTCGAGTAAATTCGTGAAAAACCGTAAGAATCCTCTTTGCAACGTGAATAAATCTTCGGAAATTGACACTTTGCTTGTATTTAGCATTACGGCTGCCAGATAGCGCTACAAACACTTGCACTAGCTATGCAACATGTTAAAAAAAATCAGAGCAAATAACAACACGATATGTATTGTCAAAATTGTCAAGAATATATTCAGACAGTTATACAAAAAGAAAATAAATCAAACTGCTTTCCGTCCTTGTTTTAGGAAAACACATTTAATAAACTCATTAAAAGCCTACGAGTTAATCGTATGTCATAAGTTGATCGTATGTCATTCACTTATATATGAATATTTTTGCTTTAACCGTGCATCAACAAACGCATATTTCTGTTTATTTATTTATTAACAATGCAGCGTGCGTTTGTTGCCGAGAATATCCAAACGGTGCTGCCACCTGAATGTGAAATTTCGAAGCAACGAAATTCTACTTTCACATTGAGATTTTATAAGACCGGCTTTAAAAAAAAAATTAAAAAAAAATACTGCTTGTCAAATTAACCTGTTCGATTCACAATTCACTGTTTCATAATAAGGCGATCGATCGCGTTGACCGATCGCAATTACTCGGTTTAAAGACCACCCGGTACCGTGCGAGCAGATCTCTCGTGCGAGACAACTCCGGATCTCTGGGATCGGCATTATCGTGCATTGTCGTTCACACGTCAGCTGCTTTGACGGACCGCGGTGGAATAATGACAGAGCGGGCGAGCGAGGAGTTGACGTCGTCGGATCTGGGCACTCTCGAGTTGTGAGTAATACGTACCGTGACCATGCGGCACCCGTTGTGCATCACTCGCCGCTTTTTCTGACCCTTCTCTTGTTGTCCGCTCTTGCCGCAGCTGGGAGAACGCGTACGCGCAGGAGCTCGACAACTTCCGCGACCACGGCGACGTCGGCGAGATATGGTTCGGCGCGGCCAGCACGCGCAAGGTCGTACGGTAAGCGAAAAAGCCACAGGAGGGCCGGCACGCGGACACGCGACTCTCGGTACCGCGGGTAAAGAGCGCGCACCGCGGAAAATCGATAGGCTTTCCCGCGGAAACGCAAACAGCCGCCGCGACGCGATCGAGACCTGTACCCCGCGCGCCACTGGTGGCGACATCTGCGAGATCGAGCCTCATCTCTTCTCCGACGATAACGTTTCAAGTCTTTGACGTCGGTTTTGCAGTAATCTTTTCAACCGTGAATAATCATAAACTTTAGAAATTGTTGATTATAAATTCTTTTCCCCTCTGATTAATTAATGCTAGAAGTATCTATTTCTATTATTTAAGAATATTACATTTTTTGTATATTAAATATTCAATTGTATATTTGAAAAAGGGATGAAGGGAAAAAGATCGATTTAATCATTATATATATTGCAACAAAAATTACAAAAAATCTAAGAAAATGCATTATTATAAATTTAAGTAATTTTTATTTAAAAATTACGAGTTATTTTGACTCACTCAAGGAAATATTTTGCTGTTCCAGCTAGAATTCTAAATATTACACTTAAATTATGTCGCTGTTTTTTGTATCTGCTAAAAAATTGTCTGTCATACGTAGAATTTATAGCAGCAATATTCTAAGAATATATAGAAGAAAATAGATCTTATAACCAAATATGATTTATAGAGTTTGGATTGGAGTCTGTGGAGTGATTAATTAAATACATAGAGGAATTTTCTTGCTAAATTTGACAAATAGTTCAGATATAATTTCTGTTTGTTATCTATATTGATTAAATACAAAACATATGGTATCGCAGTGCTTAATCACTTATCCGTTTTAGCTAATTTTTTATATCTAAATAATTCTCGCTATAATCGCAAGATTACTTTTTTCAGTGCTATTTTGATTTAATATTCTAATGTATTAATAAAATATCTTTTATTATCATTTAGGAATACTACACTGAAAAAAGTAATCTTAACAGTAAGTAGAAAGTAAGATTAACAGACAGAAATTATATCTGAACTATTTGTCAAATTTAGCAAGAAAGTTTCTTTATGACGTTTAATCAGTCCAGACTCCAATCCAAACTCCAATCATATTTAGTTATAAAACCTATATTTTCTTGCATATATTTTTAGAATATTGCTACTATAAATTCTATGTATGACAAACAATTTTTTAGTAGATACAAAAAATAGCGATATAATTTAAGTGTAATATTTAGAATTCTAACTGGAACAGCGAAACATTTCCCTGAGTGTACATATTTAAGATTTGATGCTTATTGAAATAGTTTCTCTATATTTCTTTTCGAGCAATCCGAAATTAAAAATGGTGTAATCTGAGTATTATATTAATACTATTTTATTTTGTGCGTGAGAAACAAAAAAAATTTTTATATTTTAATTTTTGTTTTAATGTAATTTACAATATATGAAAACTCCATATTAAAGGAAAACGATCAATTTTTTTTTAAACTCCGTCTATTCGAAAATAATTTTCGTTATTTTCTTCAAAACATTCGAAATATAGACAAAAGCAATTAAAAATGAATGAAGATTGTTGCTTGTATAGCTCCGAAATTATTAGAACTATAATATAAAGAAAGTCGTTTTCTAGATGGATCGCTATGAAATTGGATTTAAACAAAGAGAGTGATAAGATAATCGACGTAGGATGCGGTAATGCGATGACTTTGGTTGAACTCGCGAAAGCGGGATTCGCAAACTTGACGGGGGTGGATTACTCACAGAAAGGGGTAGATCTGGCCCGCATGGTGCTGAACGATAGCAACTTGCCGAATGTAAAGATAGAGATTTGCGACATACTCAACAACACATTGCCGCATGATTTTAAAGTCGTTCATGATAAAGGCACTTACGACGCTATAAGTTTAAATCCGGAAGATCCGATGGCAAAACGGCAGAAATATATAGAAAATATATACCGCATCCTTTTACCAGGAGGCTATTTCATCTTGACATCCTGTAACTGGACCAAAGAAGAATTGCTAAAGCATTTTACGAGTCGTTAGTATAATTATTAATTAAAATTTTAATATCTCTATTTTTAAATAGTCAAAATTATTAATTATAATTTTCGTTTAAATACTATATATAAATATTTCGTTTTACTATATTAAATATTTCGTCTATATACCATTAATTATTATTATTATTATATTCTATCAATGAAACTTATCGCACGCGTGTTTACGAATTCTTCGTTTTATCAAAGACAGGTGTTTTTCTCGGAAAAGAAATTATCGCTTTCACATCATTATCTTTGGTGAAGATGATCGTTTGGTGTATGTGCATTGTGATAATTATTGTTCGCAGATTTTGAATTCGATAGTCAACTGCCTACGGATTCGTTCCAGTTTGGCGGGCAGACGGGTAACACTGTAACACAATTGATATTTAGAAAAAAGTGACTATGAACAAATTTATGTGTACCACATTAAAATAAATAAAATAATTGTGTCTAATTTGTAAAAGAGATTTTGACAATTACCTTTTATCCTGTGAATACTTTTCATAAAAAATAAATATATATTGCGAAAAGGTTCAAGACTTTATTTGTGCATGAAATCTCCAAATACATAAAACGACATTAGAGTAAGATCAATAGTTAATACTACGCTTTCTTGATCACATTACAAAGTTTACAAAAGATATACTATCAATACAATTACAATGTCAATTAAACTCAGCGATTAATCTATGCGATTACTAAATGTAACAATAGCGAAGAAATAAATATATCGAGTGCATTTATATTAATATTTGTAACATTTATATTAATTAAAAAACTGATTATATTCGTAATTGGCAAAAATTTATATTTTTCATCAAAAAAATATGACAATTTAAAGTATTTAGAAAATTGTGTGTATTTTGCATCTTTGTGAGGACATTCTTGTCAATTTACGAATCTCTTTTTGTTATACATCTATCTACCTTGTGCATTGAGGAAACATGATATAAGAATGAATTATCCTAAGTATATCATGTAATGATATGTGCATCTCTTTACGAATGCAGTTGAAATACGAAGTTTAATCATATACATTGCAAAATTTTACTATCAAAGCATTATATTGTTATTTCAAATTCTAAAAATAGTGAAATTTAACATCTAGTAGTAAATTTTATCTGAAATATATAATATTCATGTTACGTTGTTTTAGTCTTTTGAACTGGTGTTAATAATAATTATTATTATACAACATAATAAGAATACTGTAGTAGTAATTAAATGGCAAATATTTGCACACAACAAACACGGAAAAATTTTTATAAAACAAATAGAGTGTTTATCCCAATTTAACTGCCTACAATTATGATAATATATTTTAATTGTAGTAACTTGTAGTAACTTTAACGATTGATTAAAACGCTGTATTAAGAATATACGAAGACAAGTGTACATCGAATGTTTGTACTTGTAAAACGAGTACAAAGATTACTTATTTACGACTGTTGATTGTATAAAGTGATTAACGTTCACTTTTTGAACTTTTTATTACGAACTTAAGTTATAAATTAATATTAAAACTAATTGTTAATACAATGATGTAAGACATAATTATTTGTTGTGTGACTATAAAAGTTATCCGGATGCAGCGAAATTGTTTATTTTCACATTTCTAAAATTAAAAGCAACTAAAAATTCTGAACTACTTATTGTTTCTACAGAGAAATTTGAAAATATTTAAATTTGATTCTATAATTTAAATACAGTATTTTCTGCATCTTATCATCAGTTGTATAGACTTTGATTATAAACTGATATATTGGTTTACTGAAGATGATAAATATGGAGATAATTTTCTAAATTTAAAAGACATCACAAGAAAATTATAAACTTTACAAGTATATATTTGTAATATATAACGCATTTTATATACTTATATAAAACTATTCTCTATATAAGAAATCGTGCAATTTTCCTGAACTACAAATAAAACTACAAATAAATCAATTATTTCACTGAGAAAATTATAATCTTTGTGCTATCTGATTTTAGATTAAATAGTATGAAACTATAATACTATAGAATTCGATAGTTGTATAATAGTTGTTATAATAGTATTATGAAATACTGTTACATTTAATATCTAAGCTATTTACACAAAATCTCCGTTACATATAATTTCTTACAATAGATTGTTGAAAATTTACTTATAAAATTAAACAAATTTTCGTTGAAGACGAATATTGTTTTTCTAAAGAATTTAAAAAGTATAATTGAAAAAAAGTGCGAGACTGCTGAAATATTTTATATCTGATAAAGATTATCTCGTAATTCATAGTTGACACATAAATGTGCATTATCATTTTGAAACTTGAACGTACATCCTACTTAAACACTTTCATTGAACTAAATAGACACTTTTATAAATAAGTGTATTTCTAAGCGACTTCTCTTTGAATTCGTTGTCTCAAAGAATTATAATGTTTTTCCATTGTGGGTTATCGTACAAACTCAGGGGTTATCGAAATAATTTTCTATAAGCTTGAATATTTTAGATATTAGTTGGTAAATCTTCCAAGCACGAGCGAAGCAGCCAGAAGTGTCATTGTGTGTAACGTGAAGATGGATGAACAACCTAAGGATATAAACATTTTAAAAGATAATTTTTTAATACAGTTCACATAAATCGAACTCGATATTCAATTATCTCGTAGAGATTATTTTACGAGAAACATTCCAATTTCCGTTTATATTGCATCACGTGTTCGTGATAGCAAGTTTCAAAACAGCTGAACAAGATTATTACGCCGTTCTATTTCTTAGGAATTATAGTATGAAACGAGAAAATTATCATATTTTTTAAACTTTTAACATAAACATAGATCGATATATCCTGTTTTTCGGAGAAGATAGAATACTAATTTTAAAACAGAATTTTCAGTATTATTAAATACTAATTAATCCTCAATTACATCTATAAAAAGTCACCTTAATTTACATTTGTAAATATTTTAGACTCAAGATTTTTTTTGCTATTTTCCACAAATTTCAGTGAAATAAATGTATCACATTAGCTATATAGATTACAGTTAGCTATATAATACGTTATTTATAACATATTAATAATAATTCTTGGAATGTAAAAAGAAATAAATCTTACCGTCACAATAAAATGGAGATTCTTCAAAAAATCCTTCTCGACAATAACAACGTTTTCCCGCTGTGCCGTTACGTTGCACACATTGGGCATCTATTACGCAATCATCATCGGAACTACAATATGCATGAAGTGCTAAAAAATAGAAACATAATTTTTAATACATTTTATGAATTTATATAAATGATTAAAAAAAACTAAAGCTCAAATTCTTTGTTTCTTAATTTTGTTTAACATTTTTTATTATTAATATTACAGACGCGCGCTTTGCTATTTTTTATTTTTTACTAATATACTTGCTATTACACTATACATTAGTCTCAACACACACAACTGCCAAGTGCAATGACAGCCACTCACCCGAAGTAAGCGCAGCGAGACAATCAATCGGCATCGCGAAAAAACAACAATCAATTTTGAAAAATGCGAATAATCTCCTTTACATGTAATTTTTTTCTAGATAGAAACCATCTTGAAAAATAGAGCGATTATTCACAATAAATAATTCACAATAATAATATTATATTTACAAATTTCTTTTTATCAAATTTACTATTTATGTCATTTTGTATGATTTTAATTATTAGAAATATAACGCTCTATTTTTCTCAAGCGTGAGCGTAAATTTTAAGCGCCGATCGATTCGTAATCACGATTAATTGCTCTTAAAATGTTCGAGGCAATCACCGGCAACTTCGTCGAAAATCGGAAGGGAAACGTGCATAGTGATCATCTAATCAAATGAAATTGCCGAGTTTCCGGGTCGTTTCACGAGCTTCTAATATTACGTATCGAACTACAAATTGCTTGGTACACGTTATACGATTTCCAAAGTTCCAAAATCCATTTGCTGCATCGTACCAGGTACGGTAGCTATCACTTTTAATAATTTATTATCAATTAATTGATGCAATTTCATGAGAGTCATGCAAATATGCCTTTAATTACATACAAGCATGTTTTATAACTTGAAAAATATTATAATAAATATATTATGTGTGTCATCATCTTCTCCAAAAGAATAAGTGACTAAATATATTGCTTCTACTATTATTACCGTTTTACATTCACGTTTTTTCTTGCCGTGAAACGAGATTACAGAAAAACGAGTTGTATCGGCGTAACTACTAACTACTGAAGGTAGGTCTCTCTTTCCCTCCTTTCCCCTTCCTCCCTCTCTCCCACTCTCTCTCTCTCTCTTTCTCTCTCTCCCCCCTTCTCTTTCTCTGTTGAAGCGATACTTCTTTACCCGTACCAATTTGCATAGATAACCATAGACCAGCTACGAACACTATCACACGTACGTGTATTCACATATTGCAATATAGCATGTAAGTATATGCAAATAGTACTGCCTTCTTGTTAAAACAATTTTTCAAATTTGACTAATTTCAAGAAATCAAAGTAATAACTAACATATGCGAGACATTGAGAATGTATGTAAGCATGCATGTAAAATATGAAATAAAAACTAATATTACACATTATACATATAGCGTTTCTGAAGTCTATCGAAAAAAATTTTTTTTATTTATTCATAAATTTGAAATTAATTTCTTGAGTAAAAATTGGTTTACCTTTGAATTTAATATGACAGGCGCCATTAAGTGGTGCCGAGTAATCGCCGCAGAGACATCGAGTTTTTCCATCCCGGTGATCCGCCATGCACGTTGTATTCTGAATTCCAGCACAGTCACTTTCCATCCTACACTCGCGAGCTTTACCAGCTGCAATTGTATTATATCGTGTATAATATAATTCTATGTAAGAAACCGTAATTTTATTTGACCTTCAACTCGTTTAAGATAATATGTCTCAGTCTCATAAAAATGAAATATTATTTGAGCTGATTATTAAAGATTAAATCTGCAAATCTGAAGCAAAAATAATAACTAAGATTCTGCAGTAATTGCTCTATAAATGCAGAGAAAGAACTATTATTTGATATTTAAATGTTCGAAAAATCTTTTCGCTTCTTGCTTTTCTTTATTAAAAAGAAAATCGTTGTGAAAATAATATATTATTTTAATTGTTCAAATCTATATAATCTCAAATGACGTAAAAATCATAATGGTATAATAGTAAATTTACGCAATTTTAAATTGTGACTGATTACTAGATATTAATTTGCGTATTCGTAGAAAAAATAATAATCTAAATATGATTACAAATCAAAATAATTATCTATCCTGCTTTATAAAGAGTTACATTTTATGTAGTACCTACAATTAAGACATGTTATACGTAATTAACCCTAGTCGCCACACCTATTTTTAATTATCTTCCCTGTCACACCAGGGTTTGTGAAATCATGTAACTTTGTCACGCTATATCTATTAACTGAAAGCATATATTTTTTCGCTCAACACGTATGAAATCGATATCAGAGTCAGACAAATATAAATAAGCAAGAATAAAATAAAAAATATTTTATTTTCAAATAATTACTATGATTTAAAAATATGTAATTGCTAAAATTCGTAAAAATAATTATTTTGAATAAAAAATTATCTAATTTAAACTTTAAGCAAAAAAACAATCTGGGTTTTTTTTAATTGATCCTTTAGACTAAGAAAAAAAATTGTACAATATAAATCGCTTCAAAAAGTTTAGTTATTTAAAATATAAAAAATCAAATTTTTTGAAAAACCAACAAATTATGATTTTACAACTAATGAGCAAAATTTTATTTTTTAAGCAATATAAAATGGATAAACAGTTGTAGTAAATAAATATTATTATTGTATATATTTTGAAAGTGCGTCGATGTTCCGAGTGTTTGCAAGTCTTCGAATAGACACGTAATAATGCATATACATTATAAAATAATATTTTTTAATTCTACAATTTTATGAATTTACTTTTATACTTTTCTCTGGAACTCAAATGTATATTTAATAAAAAATAAAGAAGTATCCAGAACGCCAATAACTTACGAATTAGTCATATCGGGAGTATCGGGTACTCCTTTTGAACTTTCGTGCACTTTCACATTAAGAATAACGCAAAAAATTACTCCTACAGACTTCTTTATGGATGGTTAAAGTTTTTTTAAACCTCAATCCACGTCTTCAAATTATATTATAAAAAAATTACAGCAATGTAAAAAATTACATTGAGTATATGTCATATTCTGATATGGCACCTAGGGTTAAGTTTATATACATATAGTAAATGTTATTTATAATAGAGTAATACTTTCGTACACTTTTAAAAACAGCTAAACACTGTAATTCTTAAACAAAAGAGATCTAAATCAACAAAATAAGGAGTGGTAAAGAATAATAGAGGGATGATATAGAGAATAAATGAGCATATTTGTTCTCTCAAAATTAAGTCATTGGAAGATAATATAACAGAATACATGCATTAAATTTCTGTCTGCTACTAATAAATTTGCTTTAAAATAGAATTTAAATTGTACTTTACAAATGGTGGAATTAATATAAGAAATTTAAATATTAAGTTATTGCATTCAATAATTATCTTTAAAATGTAATTATTTAGAAACAATATATTATTTTGACAGTATATTCTCTTTTGCATTTTTATTTATTACATACTTGGTGTAGGTGGCGGCGGTGGATTCGAGTTTTGATTATTGCTTTTCCCAAAAGTTGTGAGAGCAGCGGACATCGGCGGCGAAAAAATTGATATGACCAACACTATTGATAGAATTATTCTCACTCTCATGGTCTCTCGATTGTTATGCAAATGATATTTAATTATTATTCCACTTGTATGGTCACAAATCACAAACTTTAGCAAAGGGATGACTCGCGAGGAAAAAAAATCACTTTCTTTCCCGCTTAGAATTTTTAATTTTCTAATCTTGATACTTTTGACCCCAAACTATTCGTCTTGTCTTCCTACAACAAATTAATCTCGGCCCACGGTACACCAGATCACTCCGATGAGAGTCTGACGGGAATTCGCGGCGGCAAAGTTAGGTGAGATTATTCTTCGCACTTTCGATCCACTTACGCGGAATACTAGTATGTTTGATTCCAAGACTGCGTGTTACAAGGACGTTGGAAGGCCTTTTAAGCCTTCGAAGCACCCCCACTACGAAACCTACGTGCTGCCACTACTGAGGCAGAAAATGCTCTGCCATATAGGGTGGTTACCTTACCCACCTTCTTTGAGATCTGAATACGAAGCTAGCTGCTTGAACTTCGATCGCCTCGAAAGAGACGCGGCTAGATGTTCCATTACCGAGCCATTGCTGAGCATTACCAGCAAAATTTATGAGCCCAACACATAGAACCTGACTTCCTTTCAGGATATCACTCGGAAATCCACAATGCAAAGCATTCAAAGCGGAATGCTTTGCATCGTTATCATTTATTCCTATCTATTCCCAACGTATAAGATCCTCCTATATCGATAGCGAACTTTAAAAACCCTTCTACATAATTATGTATAATTCAACAATTCGGTTATCAGTTTTTATTTTCCATAAAGTTACATGTCTGTTCTAAAACTTTTGTAATTACTGCGGCCATATCAAACGATCTGTTCAAGTTTCTCCCGTCGATTCGAAGAAAATTACGGGACTGTTTGTTGAAACTTTTTTTTATAGTATATATATTTCGCAATCACGAGATTATTGAATAAAAAGTTGGTCATGCTGCCGCCGAATATGGGTTACATGAAATGCCTCATCTGAAAACCCCGCAATTATTTTAATCGACCTACGTGCACTGAAAAAAGAAGTCTGGTAATACCCAATGTAATTTTTATAGCATATTGATATATTATAGCAACATTTAGTAAATATGATCAAACATAATAATAACCAGTTGTTTGGTAATAATTATCAAATATTATTAATATTTACAAAACATTTTGATTATATTAACTGAATATTTGTTTGAAACTATTTTACCTAAGCTCCGTAACTGTTATTTAGACTTGATTATTATTACTAGACTTTTTTTCAGTGTGCACTAAATCAAACATTCACTTGAATTTTTTATTGTTTATATAAGACAACAAAAATTTGTTTATAAATCATCATTTTTTTAAAGATTATTGTATAGTAAGTTTAAATTCTCAAAAATGTTGTTCATTTTTTTCCAAAAAACAATTTCTTGACATTTTTCTTTTGAACATTATTCGTATATCTCTATTTTAGAATGAATTGCAACAAATAGTTTTCGAATATTAGGAAGATTATCACATTTATCAGAGAAAAATTACTGCATAACTATCATTTTTAATAACTTTGATAATTTTCTTTTTATAATTTTTTATATTTGCAAATATTTTGTATAAATTTAAGTGGAGAGAAGGATAATATGTAAAAACTTAAAAAAATTAATTTTTTACAAAGAAACGGTGAATGATAAGCAGACTATTATTGCAATATACAAACTATAATTTTATATTATATTTTTCTGTTATTATATTATATTTTTCCATTACTTGTATATATAAAATTGCTTTTAACATTTAAACATTTGATTAAATTAAAAGCAATCTACCGCTGCAAGAAAATTTAGTATTATCGTATTTTCGCAAAATATATGTCATCACAATGTATTTAAAAACATGTAATACAAGTATGAAAGTATACAATTATGTTTTTATTTATTTTCTTTAGAGATCGTTATAAAAGAAAGTGTGACTATATAAAAGTTGAACAGCATTTTTCCTGCAAAATAAGGCTTAAATATTAAGACTTTCTCGCGCAGTTATAAAAAATTATCCAGCTTAGTTCTTCCGTTATCATGTGCTTGGCATCGTTACGTTACATTACTTCGCCGAAGCTCGAAAACTTCCATCAAGCTCGAAATGTTAACTACGGGAGTAACAAAGGAGACGCGTCCGGCTGCTCGTGCACGAAAGCGACTGAAAATTTATCGCCGTGTTGCCAGTATTTTATAGAGGCAGACAGTCGTAGAAATGTGTCTGCCTGCACGCCAAGTGCATCGCGCCTTGCCTTGCCTTGCAACGTTTACAGCATTTGCAGGAAGACCCGTGTCGGATTGTCGTGCCGATTTTACAACTATCGCGCCGCCTTTTGTTTCGACGAGGTAAGTTCCTCATCGATCGTCGATCACGAAGGCTCGCGTGTGATTCATAAATTTAACAAGACGCGTGCAAGACTGCCGTGATTTACAAGGCAATTTGCCGGAATGCTCGTCCGGCGATCGAAATACTGATCGAACTGTCGCGGTCGATCTTGCATGTTTCACGAAACTCTGTAAGGTGTAAGGTCAGCGCGCGCGCGATTAAGCCCATGATTGGCTGAGTGCTGGCATTAATAAAGAAGCGCAACGCTATATCAACTCAACACAACAAACTTGATAAGATCCGTAATCATAGTTTATTAAAAGTTCCATTTACGTAACTTTGAATATTTCACAATTCTTGCAGCGTCCCTTTTAACATTCCAGTAATTGAATATTGAAATTACTGAATAAATTGTCAATTTTTTCCGTGCACGAGAGTAAAACCAATTTACAAAAATACATATGTTTTTGATGACTGATAGTTTACACGTTAAATGTATTAACACGAAATAAATTAAGACTAATATAATTGAATTAATAAAACAAATAGCAATTTTGTTACTTATTTCTGTAAAAAAACATCTCAGAAATATGACATCAATTTAAAATTTATTTTAAAGTGAAAACAGTAGCCAAAGGTTATGCACTTTCAGTATAATCAAGAACATATTTTAAAGATATACGAGCCCGACCTACTTTTCAATTCTATAATCACCGAACAACCAATTACAATCGTCATTCGGCCAACGCATGGGGGTTATCGCATTAACGCAACTACATATAAATCGTAAAAAATTAGCATGAATAAGTTCAAGGCCTATGCGCAGGCATATGAAGAACACACTGATTATTCCATAGCATGCTTTTGTCAAATACCTACAGATTTTACGAACAAATTTCGTGAACATGTTACATATTAAGTATAGTAACGCATTAAGATAGAAATAATCAACTTCCGCTTTGTATTAACTATTAACAATATATATTTATATATATTGTAGTAATAGTTTCTTTAATAATCAATATAAATAACTTTTATACACATATTTTTAATATTTTTAATATTATAATATTTTTATAATTTTTATAATATAATATAATTTTTAAATCATTTATTTATTATTTATACAAAATATCGAATTAATAGATAAAGAAAGAGAGAAAAATATCATACAGAAAAATTATAGGAGCATACGTTTTGTCACTTTTACTTTTCGTATACATTTCTCGATGTATACAATTCACGGCGTTCTTCAGTTGTAATCGGAAATTCACTCGAAGCGTAATCGTCATCAAGTTTATTATGAACAAGATATCGTTCATGAAGAATATCTCAGTCTATCAATGCAGAGGGCAAGAATTTCCATTTTCATGAAAATTTCTTTCAGCTTTTCTATTAGTAAGTCCTTGTCTTTATCATCTTCTTCTAACGTATTTGATATCTGATCTGCAATGTAACATTATTTTAAATAAATTAATAACAGCAGAGATATATTTTAAGTTACATTACATTAATTTATATTTAGTATAAAAATGTCAAATTAATAATGATAAGATGTATTTCTTTATATATAATGTAAAAAGTAACTTCTACCTTAAAGAATATTGTAACAACTAACTAAAGAATAATATGATTCTTCAAAGCAATTTGACAAATAATATGTATTAAGTAAAATATATTATTTTTTTGAATGTCGACATACCCGGTTGTCTGTTTAGATCATCAATCATTCGTTTCTTTCGATGATTGTCTTCCATACTGTGTGAATAGTTAGGATACATTCCTACATCTATCTTTTTGTTATCCTCCCAGAGTTTCTTTAAAGCAAGAAAATGTTCACGCCATGTATGGGTTTGGTGTGTGAAACGTATGTAAGGAAGAATACTGCAAATATTCCATTTATTAAAATCAGAGGTAGTCCATTTTAGTAGATATCGCGTCGTGACATTTAACATTTCATCTTTAAGTAGAGAAATTAGTTTCTTGTTCAAATCGTCGTAAGCTTTCAAAAATTCAGTATTTTTAAAAACTGAATCTTGCTCTTCATTGATTTTTAATTGTTCTTGTTGTTGTTTAATCATATCAAGAAGTGGATGCTGTGCCTTTTTTAAATCAATGATTTGGACCATAAATTTAGAGAAAGAATTTGGCATGACTTGTTCAGATTCATCTTTATCTTCGAAGTAGTTTAGGTAAAATTCAGACAAATTTTCACTGGTGTCTCTTTTATATCTATAATCATAATCTTCATATTCATCGTCCATTTCATAAGAATCTATAAATGGCGCATCAAATAAATCCGGTAATGCGTCGTTCGAAATTTTCGCACTTGTAGTACTTTCTTGTAAATCAATTCTATTGATTATTTTAGGTACGCTGTCCCGCGGCGTTGTAACTCCCTTATCAGAATTTTCATTAGAAATGTTTTCATTCTCCAATTGCTCACTGGCATCCTCGCCACACATGGAATTTAAAATATAATGAATATCTCTAAAATTTGGAACTTTCGGAGGAAAGTTTACATTGGTTGGAGATGTTTCAGAAGAAGCAAAATTCCATTTCTCATTGAATTTAATAGCGGGACAATTTACTTCGAGAATACCTGTTTCAATTGTTATCTTGCACTGACTTTCTGGAATAATCTCATTCATATTCTCAGACGGCAAATTTTGTTCTGTGCTTGATTTTGATATATCTTTCCATTCTGATCTTTCAAAATCTACAGAGGAAGGGGACCCACTAAACCATTCAAATTTATCAACATTTGGGGTCAAAAATTCTACACTATCTTGCACTGTTGGTTGCGGAACCGACCACAATTTGTAAGGATTCTCAGTAATCTCCATTGATTTCTCATCTCCTATTATTTTTGCGATACTCTCCGATGAATATTGCTTTTCTGTATCTCGCACGGTGGCCGTCGATGTATCACTATCATTTACGTCGTGTTTATCTTTATTTCTCTCATCAACATCGTCGCTTGACTTATTTTCGACTTGCTTTGAAATTTCTTGTGCTAATACACCCTGAGAAGTAGAAGTAGAAGTAAAAGGACCTTTATCCGAATCATTCATTGACGTGTCAGAGGACTCATGAGACTCAGAAGGTGGACATATGACAAGATCTCCATGTTCTTGTGTGGCAAATTTTTGTCTTAGTTCTGACAAGGTATTTGTCGAATCTACACTGGTCATAGGATCTTCAGGGAAATTTTTACGATTTGAGATTGATGCGGCATTAAATTCTAAACTTTTGAATTTATTCGATGCATCTAACGAATGATTTTCTTGACTTTTTAACGTCGAACGATCAACGTCCTCACCAAAGTCACTTTTATTTTCGGATTTTTCTAAATCGTTAGCTGCTTTACTTATATTGCGTAGTTTTTCTAGAAATTGTACGTGACGGAGGGATTGATTTTTCTCATAAGTACTAACGTTTTCGTCAGTGGATTCAATTGAAGATTTTTCTGACACCGGGCTAATCGTAAATTTTTCGTGAAGTAAACTTTCGTATAGTGTCAATAATTTATTGATAACACTTAGTCCCCCTGTATAGTTATTTTGTACGTTATTGGAATTTTGCGTATTTGTTAGCGCCATACTAACTCCATCGGTTACAATTGCCTTTTCTTGCGTTAAATTTTCTGTTTTAATCATATCTTTTAAAATATTATGTATCTTGTCTATGACCTCAAATGTCGCAGGTATTTCTGTACTCGGACGTAACTGCTGTATTTCAGTTTCATATTCAATTGGTAGATGATATCTCCCCTCAAAAGTGCCACTCGTAGTCTCATTTACTTGAGGAAGATAAGTCTGTAAGATCATGTAACAACCCCATCCGAAGAATAATGTTACTTCTAATAAGAATATCAGTCTGAGATACGGTATGCATCGTACGCAACAATTGGTCTTCTTTACGCATTTTTGCTTCTTCTGATATAATCCTTCTTCCACAATCGTGGGATCTATATTATCTGTGCAAATTTAAATTTTTATTCATTTAAATATTTTATTTACAAAATAATTATGTTTATTAATAAACATATTTAAAGACTTGAATATATTAGATGTATATGTAGATAAAAGGATTAAATCAAGGAATATTTACGATACAGTAAAAATTCATATATACGCAACGATTCTTTACAACAAATAATTAATTTATAAAAATAAAAAAAAACAAAATGTAAGTATAAAAATATTTCTATTATATAAAAACTTTAACTAATGTTTTAATAAATTTTTTATAATTACGATATATGAATAACTATCACTCTTTTATATTTAGCATAAAGACACAACAGTATTGCTCACTTTCACTAATGCCCCACTGTTCCTTCATGATGAGCGAGTAATCGTAAACTGAACTGATTTCTTTAAAACGACATCGTTAAATGTTCAGCACAGAAATACGACCTAATCTCGACCTGGTAAAATAGTATACAGAAGGTCGAGATAAAAGCTGTCTCCTTCTACATTTTTAGATACGAGGAAGACATTCGCCGGGTCATCAATTATCTTTCCCGGGTCAACAGAGCTGATGACTGTGTCTCGCTATCAACAGAAACCTCACCTCGCTATCTTGTAACGTTCGCTGTGACAGTCCGCTGAAGCGGAGCAGCGTCCCGCCGCCGCGCCGTCACAAGGCGCGGGTTCACGCCTAAGACCGGGCCGGTATTTCGACATATGTAAAAGAACCAAATCGAAATCTCCATGAGGTTCATAATTACGTCACGCACATTACTTATTTTGTTAATTTTATTTTTGTATATTTTTGCCGTACATGAAAGTCGCCTAGAGGAGAGCGGAGACGGCGAGGGACAGGAGAAGGAGAAAAACTCTGTTACGAAATAACCGACGTTGGAGCAATTAATATGCATTGTGCCCACGTATCGGGCACGTGGCCGTGCGGCGAAGGAATGAGACACGCGGATGCCCGGCAATGAAAGTTGTCCTGGCACCATGGGGCCCCCGAATGAGAAGACGACCGGCGATTCCACGAGGTTCAGGAATAACCACCACCGAGAGCTCGGGATCAGCCGAAGAGCTGTCCATCAATTGATAGCAGGAAACAGGCCCGCAGGACGTCCCAGCCCATGCAATGATAATTTTGAGCAACCTCGCAAGGCGCCCGTGAAAAATCAGCTGCGTACGTCCGTGTCATAGCTGGGCCCGCGCGGCGACACTACGCACCCCCCAGGTAGGGGATGAAGTCATTCAAGATTCAAGCCGATCGATCGCGTATCGAGCGCGATCAACGGCGCTTTTGCGTGCGAGATCCCGCCGTCGCCGACAGCGGTTGTGCGAGCGTGAGCGAGCGAGCGAAAGAGAGAACGAGAACGAGTTCCCGGCCCGGACGAGAATCCGAAGGAAGTCTCAGGAACCGACGGAGATGAGCATATCGGTGAGGCTCTGGTTTTTCATTCTGCCCCTCTGCCATTAAATAGAGTTAGCCGGCCTTTGTGCGGCCATTCGTGACGGTCGTTGTACTAACGGGTCGCGGTTAGCAGAATTAACTTCAATTAATTAAGAACAGAATTAACAGAATTAACAGAATTAATTTCGTGCTATTTGAAAAAATCGATGTCGTTACGTTCGTGTCGTGTCGTGATTGACGCTGCCATTGCGCGCGCCCAACTTTTCGTTTCGCGATTCGCGAAACGTCGATCGCCCATCGAGGGATAATCGCGAGGGCTAACATACTCCTTCATTCATACTTTCTCTTTTTAATATAAAAGGCATGGAAAATTTAAAGGAAAATTGAATTCATTTTGCATTTATAAGTACCGATTTTGCAGACCAACAAGTCGAAAACAAAAATCTTTTACTATGGTAATTGGTGCATATTGAATTAATCGTATATTTTTCGTTTATCTTTTGATTGATGTATTATCTAAAATTAATTGTTGATTCAATTGAATTCAAGCAGTTGCAGTAATTCAAATTGTCTTGATTATGTTATAACAAGTGATTAAGTATATATCTATTTTTTAGATCAATGTATAAGTGTTTTTATGAAACAATAATCGCTTTCGAATATTGAAACTCAGAAATATAAATATGTTTGCTTTCTTTATGTTTTGTACATTTTATGTTACTTCCGTCTTATAATACATCGAGAACACAAGTTCAAATAACATATATCAAATTCCAAAGATTATTTTCTTATGATAACAGAACAGGTGTTCCAATCGAGGTGATATCATACCGATACAGTACCGGTTGTATATTTCAAAGAACCAAGCATAAAATTTCTAGACAAGACTCTAATAAGGATTAAATACAAAAGGAGATATTTTGTAGAAGAAAAATAATTTATTTTAGATGTTTTTTTATTAGAATATAATATTATTACATACATAAGTGCGTCTTACGAAATAAAGACAAAAATGCTTTTCATGAATCTGTACATTTTATGCTTTGTTTAGGGCCGGCACTGCTCTTAGATTTGATAAAAGAAGCCAGTCTGATTAAACTTTATTATTGAAGATATTGCAACAATATTCGCAAGTTCTAAAGATGCGGCAAATTCAGCAAGTTGTATACAATTTATTATATTTGCAATTTTTCATCTGCAATGGTAAGTAACGCACAAGAATTTGTTATAATGATAAATTTTATACATTGTTGTTACTATATTCGTAAAAATTCTTTAAAACAGCTATGTAAGTATTATTTTGCGTAGATATGTAAACATATATGTAATAAATTATCTTGCTATTAATCAAGTTATGTGCTTTCAAGTTAAGTTAATTCAATCTTAATGCAACTTTTAACTAAATTGGTTTTTTGTTCATGTAACTGAGTTTATTTTATAAGTCATTAAATTTGACTTAATTTAATTAATAGAAAAACCCTATCCAACTTAGCTTAATTATGTTATAAACAATAAATATTAAATTATATTAAATATAAAAAATCATTTAATACTAAAATTATTATTAAAAGAAAATAAAATGTTTTAGTGTTCACATTTGATATTGATATTTTACCGGAAGAAAATACTAACGATATAAACGATTTAAAGTGGAATAATGAATGGAAATGCAGCTCTAATGATGATTGTACGGCAAAGAACAGTGTGTGCAGTAATCAATCGTGCCAGTGTCCGCCTGAATATATCTTTAACGCCGATATGACAGCTTGTGTTAGAGGTAACATTGTTTCACCGAAACGTCATTGTTTTCCAAAACTTATAATTAATTTTATGTGAACACAAAGATATTATTGCTATTGTCTTGCAGTTGCAACTGGATTATACGATACATGCGAGGAGACAGTGCAGTGTTCGGCTTATCTCTTCAGCGGTGCTAAATGCGTGGAAAACGTCTGTATATGTGGTCCGGGTTCCTATTATCTACACGGTAGATGCAATCGATACGTCGGTGAGCGATTTTCTTATTCTATTTGCTATCGTTTTTCCATGCTGTTAATGAAAGAAAACATATATAAATGATATTGTTAATACGTAGGTTTATTCGAGGAATGCAAGCAAAACAGCGACTGCTATATGAATGCTGATTTCGAGGCAAGCGTTTGCGACGTAGTTAATGGAATTTGCAAATGTAGTCCTGGCTTTTATCAGCGCGAGTATCGCACTTGTCGGAGAGAGGGAAAAGGTAAAGATCATATATACTTATAACGACAATACCTACACGGGCTGAATACATAAATTTATGACGCTGTAATAACACACGACATTGAAATATTGTGTTTTAAATTTTTTAAATATTATTTAATGTTATTTGCGTAGTCGTCGGCGACGAATGTACAGTTGATATCGATTGTACTTTCGACAACGGAACGTGTAGTGAGTTCGTATGCGCTGTAAAATCCAAAGCTGATAAAGCTATCGAACTTTCGTCTGACGTCATATTAATCAAAGGAATTTTGAATGAAAGTTAGTATATATATTATATACAACAAATAAATACAATGCTACAAGTGTAAATTTTTTAAAAATCCTCAATGATGTCTAAATTGATGAAATTGTGGTTTATACGTGTATATGTTTCCATTAGCAACTCGGATAGGCAGTAATTGTACGACCGACGAGGACTGCGAAGTAGTGAGAAACGCCGTATGCGGTCCTGGTGGAACGTGCCATTGTGACCGTGCACATTTCGCATCCGACACAGACGACGAATGTATCCCAGGTAATATCAACGTCACAGACACTATTTTGCAGAAGATGATATTCGAGCACTTGTGTCGACAGAACTCGGGGAGCCTTGTCAAAATGATGACGTCAGCTATATCCAGAAATCCATTTGTCGTGACGGGATATGGAGTTGTACGAAAGGCACGGTTGCATCTAAAGATAATCGCGAATGCCTTAATGGTAAGTAACATTAGCTAAGCCGCATACTACTTTGATAAATTCATTTTCTTACGTTATATAGAAACGAAATGTAAAATAAATAAGTATGCACGTAAATCAAAGAATCTCTCTTCTCAATATTCTGATTTGCATTAAATTTTATATTGATTTTTATTCAATATGTTTATCTTATTCAGCGACCAGAGAGTATTTGGGAAATTGCCACGTGGACGAACAGTGTTATATCTTTGGTCCAGACGCTATATGTAGTAATAATACATGTGTATGCAACGAAAATGTTTCTCATTACGTGGAGAGTGAACTGTTTTGCTGGGGAAACACGGGAATCAACGAAACTTGTAATCAAGACCGAGATTGTTACGTGAAAGATTTCAAAGGCAATTTAACATGTCACGCTACATGCGGCTGTCCCGATGGCACACGCTTAAGCAAGGATGAAATGAGTTGTGTAGGATCAGCAGGTAAACGGTTATCTTGTTATTTTTCCAAAGTTCATTACGTGGCGTTTGACAAAATCTTTGCACTAAATTTTAGAACTTGGAGAAGCTTGCGAAATAGACAGTGATTGTTATGTCCCGTCTTCCGTTTGTAAGAAACAAGTGTGCACATGTGCCAAGAACTATTATGAATCACATGAGCTTTGTTTGCCAGGTAATACTTTATAAATTATTATAAAAATATTAATTTTTCTTGAATAAAAACAGTTTATATTGACATTTTATATTGACACTTCTGAACAAACAGATTCAGATTTCATGGAATAATACAATACATAATAAATAATTGATATAAACCGTAACTAAAATTTAATCACAAAAAGTTTAAAAGTATATTAAAAGTAGCCAAATAACGTTTTCATGATCAGTAATCGAATTTTAGGTATCAATGCTGATTGCACGGGTAACGAAGGTTGCTCACCGAATAATTCCGTGTGTATTTCGAAGAAATGTTATTGCGAGCCGAATTATGTGGCTGCGTCTATTGATTCATGTATACCAGGTAAGCAATTATATCAATTCGTTTTTATAAAGAAAATATTGCTAAAACTTTCATGTATTATCAATAGTAAGAACTCTTTAATGTTCGAATGTATTTTAATATGTTTCTATTATAGTATCACTGTTCGGCGAGCCGTGTTTACTGGATATTCAATGTTCTGCCACTGCAACGGACGCAATTTGTGCGTCTGAGAACAGAAATGACACCGCGGTCACAACGGAATCGTCGACAGAATCGTCGACAGAATCGTCGATAAAATCGACGACAGAATCGACGACAGCAGAAGACAAAATTTGTACTTGTAGTACAGAGGACTACTACAGATTCGGAAGGTGTTTTAAGAAAAAATGTAAGACAAGAATAATCTGATAATGA